GGGGTGAAAAAATAAATAAATAAAAAATTATTAAAGTGAGGGCAGTCTTGTGGGACTGAGCACTTAAACGTGTGGAGTCTGACGCTAACTCTGGGTAGTTAGTGTCAGAACTGAATTGAATTGTAAGACACTCAGTTGGTGTCAGGAGGGAAAAAACCTCTCAAGGGGGTAGCACATTTCCCATTACTGGAGATATATTCAAGAGGAACAGATGAGCTGACTGTTGATAAAACTGTTGTAGGGATTATGCCTTGGGTGGGAGATCGGCCTAGATGAATTCTAAGGCAGTAAGGCACGGTCCATGGTGCCGATCAGCAAACTCTTTACCAGTCTACGATGAAGTATACAGCAATGGAGAGCAAGCACTTAGGGACTTTTATAGCAGTCTGACATTTCTGTGACACCTAAGTACAAGCTCAGTGGATTCGTTTCCTTAAACAGAGTCCAGCCCAATCCGGGTGCTATTAAACATGGTGGTGAGTTGTATGAGGTGGGTGCTGCATACTGTCACACACGGTAGGACCACATAGACTCCTGCAACAGAGTGGAAATAAAAAATTGGGCCCTTCACCACAAACAGTCTGAGAAGCACTGCTCAGAGGCCTCGGCCTCATCGTGGCGTCCCTGGTAAGGTGTCTGACCACCCCATCTAAAGCAGGACTCCTCATGTGACTTTGCACCATGGCCTCCTGTTTGTTTTTCCCACAGTAGTTACCAAAATGGGCATCATCTTATGTATCTGTGTTACTTATTTACTGACTGCTTTCCCTGCCAGTCTGTGAGCGCATGAGGGCAGGGACCTCAGCAGTCTTATTCACCCCTGCATCACCAGTGCTCAGCCTGTCTGGCACTGAGAAACGATCCTATGAATGTGGGTTAAATGAATGACTTGACATATTATACGAAAAGTACTCCTGATATAACTTATGTTTTTGGTAATGCTGGGCCAGGTTATTCAACCAACCCTCCCTCAAGAAACTTAAAGTACTTGAAAAATATTAAAATCATCTCCTTAAAAGCGCTGGAGTGCTTACAAGATAGTAAGGAGTTACCAGCCAAAACTGAAAGGCGAGTGGGAACCCACAGAGGTAAGTGGAGCATGAAGGTTCTTTTTAGCTTGGGACATTTATCAATCATGACAAAACTAAACTTGGGTTTTTGACCTCATGGGGCAAGAGGGCAAAGAATCAAATTCCCAGGACCCACTGGTGGGTAAGTCTAACAAGAGACCCGCCCCACATTAAGCTGGGAGCCCAAAGGGCTACACATCCAAGGGAAGGGTGAACCAGAAGAGACCACTTCTACCCCAAAGACCACGAGGAAGGCTGCCAAAGTGCTGGGTAGAGCTGAGGGGCGAGTGTCTCTGAGGCGCTATGACCTCACGTAATCTCACGTAAAGCCTCATGTAAGCTTCACGTAAATTAGCGGCTCCATTCTGCATCATCTGAGTGGCTTGAAAAGTCTCAAACTGGGAATTTAGTTTAAAGGTGTTTGGCAAGAGCAAATGCAAATCCTCCCTCTGAGTCTGACTCCAATTCTGATATATGTTTTTTTCCCCACACCAAGCAATTCTCTGACACCGGCTGGGTGTCCTACAATTCAACTCTATTCTGACACTATCTACCTGGAGATAGCATCAGATCTCACAGGGTAAGGGCTCAGTCCCACAAGACTGCCCTCCTTCCCCCAACTTCAGACGCCAAGTGCAAGTGCTTCTAACTGGCCAGCTATAGAATGACCCCCTCCTTGCGTTCAATTAATTTGCTAGAGTGGCTCACAGATCTCAGGGAAACATTTTACTAATTAGATTACCAGTTTGTTATAAAAGGATATAACTCAGGAACAGCCAGATGGAAGAGATGCACAGAGCAAGGCATGTGAGAAGGGGCACCCCTCTTCCTGAATCTCCACATGTTCACCAACCTGGAAGCTCTCCAAACTCTGCCCTTCTGGGTTTTTATGGAGGTTTCAGTACATAGGCATGATTGATTAGATCATTGGCCATTGGTGACTGAACTCAACCTCCAGCCCCTTTGCCTCCCTGGAGGTCGGGGCTGGGACAGAAAGTTCTAACCCTCTAATCACATAGTTGGCTCTACTGGCAACCAGCCCCCATAGGGGCTTTCCAAAAGTCACTTATTAACATAACGAAAGACACCTTTATCGCTCTCACCACTTAGGAAATTCCAAGGGTTTTAGGAGCTCCGTGCCAGGAACTGGGACAAAGACCAAATATATATTCTGATTATAAACCACAATATCACATTCCCTACTAGGCGTCATATTATTCCTAAAAATTTATTTTCAAGAACAATGAACAGCACACAACGAGGTAGCCAAGCACACAGAGAAACACAGCACACCATGAGCATATGCCAGGAGAAAAATCAAACCACAGGTAGAGAGCCACAAAAAACTTCACATATTGGAACGATCAGTCACAGATGACAAAACCATTATACCGACTATGTTTAAAAAAATAAAAGGTAAATTTGACATTATCTTAAGGGAACAATAACTATAAAAAGTGACCAAGCAACCTTGGATTAGGCAATGGTTCCTTAGATATGACATGAAAAGCACAAACAATAAAAGAAAAAATAGATGAACTAGACCTCATCGAATTTAAAAACTTGTGTGCTTCAAAGGACACAATCAAGAAAGTGAAAAGACAATCTACAGAATGAGAGAAAATTTTTGCAAATCATATATCTGATAAGGTCTAGTATCCATACTGTATAAAGAGCTCTTAAAATTCAATAATTAAAGGAAAAATAACCCCATAATGAAATTGCTTTGCAATTTGTTTGTTCATGGGTTTGAAAAATTTAAAGCAGCTATAATCAGCCTTCTAACGCACTAACTGCTTTAACTAACTCAGAGCAAGCCTGTTTTTCCCCCTCCGGGTCTCAGGTTCCTCTAAGGTTTTTTATCAGGCTGTGCATTAACACTGGCCAGAAGCTTTTAACTGAAGACCATCCATATAAAACCCAGCCAAGCCACTCCAACGGAGCACTCACGCTCCGTGGCTTTGGTAGAAACAAAACTGAAAACTGTGTTTGGGCCTTGATATCATATTTCCCACAGAAGCAATCTGAGATAGGACTGTGTATTGAACACAAGAGACCACGATGATTTGTGAAATCAATTAAATGTTTCCAAAGATGGTAAGTGAACTGCCCATGGTCACACGGCTGGTGAGGTGTCGAGTCCGTTTGAACCCAGGCAGCCTGACTCTAGAGCCACTCCTGACCATGATCCTCCATAGGTGATTTCCAACCCCTGACCAGGTCCCAGAACTTGTCCTCTGGCATATGGCAGGGTCAGGTGACATTACTAGGTGAAGACTGTTTGAGGACCAAAGTGTGCGGTGATCTTAGGACCACGTGAAAACTCCATTTATGTCTTTCCCAGGAGGTGTGGATTTCCTCTAGACACTGGTCCTGGCAGTGGCCAGAGTAGTGCTTTTGTGGGATGGGGAAAGTCAAGAAAGGTTTGTTCATTTTGGACTGGGCTGAACTTCTGCAAAATTTTGGTAGCAGAAGGATGTCTTGAGGTACAGCAATCCCTGGGGTCGCTGGTACTCAGGTTCTCAAAGGAGAAACTCAGCATGGTGGCTGTTGGCTTTCTGAGCAGTGGAAAATGAGGACTCAATGCTTCTGCTCCTGACTTAGCTCCGGGGACAACTTTGGCTGCCTGAGTCTGTGGTGATAAGACTGTCTCATTTCAGGAGCTGGGCCATTTGGGGAGGGCTGTTTCCAAGCTTCAGAAGCAAATTGCCCCAGGAGTTCCTTTTTCTATATAGGTCAATTGACATCATTCTGGACCAGAAGTATGTGGGCACCTGTCCAGGAGTCCAGCCCAAGATGGGACTGCCCCCTTTGCCTCATGGAGAAATGGACTGCCCCCATGTCTAGGTGAATGGGTTTGTGAAGTTAAGGCCAAACGTAAAGATGAGCAACAACTTCCCAAATGCTGTAGCCTTTCAAGTTAAATCCATAGCCCTTCACCAAGAATTTGATTAAGGGGGTGGTCAGGAGGGCAAGGCTGGCTGTACAGCACTGGTTATGGCAACAACAACAACCATTATTACTATTATAGCTATCACTTACTGAATGCTTACTAATATGCCAGGCATAGTGTTAACAGCTTTACGAGCTTAGCTCGCTGAATCCTTTCAATAATCCTAAGACAGTTTCCACTTTATAGATGAAGAAACCAAGGCTCAGAAAGGCAGGGTTACCTGCCCAGGGTCATACAACTAAGAGGTGGGGGAGCTGGCACTTGAACCCAGGCTTGCGCGACTCCAAAGCTGGGGGTGCTGAAGCACTATGAAGAGCAACCTCTCAGAGAGTCAATAAAGAAGAAAAACATTGGGGGGCTTACCCCACACTCTGCAGTTTTGGGGGTAGATCCCAAGGAATAGAGTGGGCAGTGGAACTTTTAAAAAAGAAAGAAAAGCACTAGGAGTCTCTGTGGCCTGCAGTCAGGAAGACCAGGAGAGCCCAGAAAGAGGGCTTGGGCCCGAGGAGTGGTGGACAGTAATCGCCTCCTTTCTTGGTGTCTTCTCTGAAGAAGATGACATTTTGTAATCACAGTAATTTTTTGCGTCTCTCTCCTGGTCCCTGATATTGCTCATATGGCAGTGCCAAGCTGGCCAGCCTGGCAGAGGGGAAGAGCTGGGATTCTGGGGGCCATTCTCAAAGGGTGTCGTGCTGTGAATTTGTCTTTGGTGCCATTTTGTGAGTCTACCTGGTTTTATTATAAATCTTTTAAAGGGTATGTGTCACCCTATTAATAGCACCTTCCATACAAAGAATAATGGCACTTCCCCTTCACGTCTGCTTCAAGCAAAGTTCTGAAGAGCTCTAGTTACCCCTTCCTGGGCTCCATTTAGGCAAGTCTTCTGGGTAATGAGGATCACAACCTGCTCACTGCTGTATCACAGGCGCCATAATCATGTGCTTGGTGACAATACAGGAACTGGGAGGCTTCCTTACCTCATCTGAAGAGCCATTTTCCACTCTGAATCTTCCAGCCCTTTGGATGGCTCCATCAGCATCGCTGGAAATGAGCTAGGGGACAAAAGAGCGCTCAGTTAGGTAGCTGGGTCACCATTTGCAACGCCCCTTCTGTCTGTATCTGTCCTATAAGTAAGCCAAATCCAACAAGAGCTGGAGGGCCCAGCCTAGAAGCTAACCGTCTTTTTGAAGCTCTATTGCCCAAGTCCACATGCAACGGGCTCCCACAGTCTTTAGGAGCTGAAGAGTGAGGAACACCTAGCCCACAAGAGTGGAAAACAAGAGCATCAAATCTAAATTTAATTATACTCCAAAACTGACAAACATTAAGGTGATGCTCCCTGGAGAAACAATCTCAACACACATCACACGTGGCCAAGGGCAGCTCACAGATGGCAAAACCAAAAGCCAAGCCTCAAGTTCAGCTGCCTTCACAGCAAAGCCTAAAAAACAATTAATGGCTGGCATGAACTCAAGGCTCTACCAACATCACAGAAAGCTCCTGTGCTTCATTCAGTTTTAAACAGTTTCCAAAAGGCCAATTAGTCCCTTCCAAGGCAGGCAGACTGTATTTCAGCTCTGGCAATGCGATGCTTGCAAACAGACAGTCTTCAAGGGGCTCGATGCTAGCAAGAGATAGTGAAAAGGAGATTAGGGTTCAGCAAATCAGTCCTAAAATTACTGACTCAAGGTTTCACTTATTTTCTCCCAAATCTTCTAGATTTCTCAGTCACATCTTGGGAAAATGACATGTCTTTTTTTAACCTTTTAAACCCGCCCACAATTTAAGCAAAAATCTGCCAACAATTTCCATATCCCAGACTCATTAGAACACACTTGCCCAGAGGGGCACTCACCACTCTAACTCAGGACTTACCAGGTAAAACAGATACATAATTTCTTAAGAAAGATTGTTCTCTCATATTTTGACTTGTGTTCAAAGATATGAAGGTGTGAAAATGAACAAATTTGCCTAAGAAAAACTATTCAAAAAAGGTTGATAAATTTTTTCCATGATGAATATAAAAATAATGGTATCTAATATTTATTGAGTGCTTCTATATGCCATGCACTCTTCGTGCCTTAATACGTATTATCTCATTTAATTCTCATAATAACAACACAATGTGGCTACTATTATTATTCTCATTTATGAATGAGGAAACTGAGGCAGAGAAAGGTAAAAGAACTAGCTAAGGTCACATAACTAGTACGTGGTAGACCTGGGATGTGAACACAGGCAGTCAGACTCCAGAAGCCCATTATCTTCACCTAACCACTACCCTACCCACCTATCGTCCATAGAATATCCATGATAAGATGCAACTCTTATACCTAATCTTTATTTTGCAAAATAATTTATAAAAAAAATAAAAAGAAGATTTTTATGTATATGTTTAGCTATTTATGGCATCAGATCATTACAGTGCTGGTAAACTGAATGAGCAGTAGAGGATGTGTGGTAAACAATCTGACCTTGCCCAAAGAGAGGTCTGGCCTTTGCTCCTGGCTCCCGGGAGGTGATCTCTAGCCCTGGGAATGTCCTACGTGAGTGTCTGTTTACTGAGGACTTTCAGCCACACAGGACAGTAATGCGATTTGTGGTGAGGGCTTTGGGTCACACGGTATCAGATCTACCTCTGGACACCAAGACTCAGGTGAGCTCCCCTGGTTGGCAATACTCCACGTGAACGGTCACACTGTTACCAGGAGGAGTTAATGCTGTCACGACCCGACTGGGAGAGGACAACCGGAACCTGCATTTGGAACTCTCCCAGACTCTGTCCCATGTGTCTGTTCTCTTGGCTGATTTTAATCTGTATCCTTTCACTGTAATAAACCATAAGTGAGCTTAACAGCTTTCAATAAGTTCACGAGTCCCCTTCTAGCAAATTATAGAACCTGAGAGTGGCCTTGGGGACTCCCGAACTCTGCAGTTGGTGTCAGAAGTGAGGGATCTTGTGGACTGTTTCCTAACTTTACACAGAGGCCAATTCTAAAGTATGAGAACAAGATGAATTTAGGTATCCCGGGGTCACGGCCATTTTCACAGGGGAAGTATAGAGGATTCAGTGTCAATTTCTTTGATTGTGAGCCTCTACTAACTGTTAAAACAGACGGAATAGCAAATAGTTTTCAAGTCAAGTGTTATTGGTACAGGCTGCCTCAAGGGCTTTGGAGAAGCACTCTGAGGTCTCATCTGGACTTGGCGAGAAAAGAGAGCTGCAAACAGTTAATAATGTCTGACATGGGTATATAAAGAGAGAGGGTGACACTCACACCCCTGAATTAGAGGTTGGTAGACAGAGTCCTCACTATAGCTAGTCTCATCCAGGACTCAAAGGCATGGGAGAAGAGCTTATAGTCATTCACTGATTCATTCATTCATTCATTCACACAACAAATACAAATGAAATGTCTACCACTATACTCCAGACCCTGCCAGGCATAGGCAATAATGCCCTTTTCCTTTGCTGATATTAGAACAAGGTGCTTATTGCTTATCTTGCTTAAAAGGTTCAAGAAGAAGAAAGGAAGAACACGTTTAATGATTTGATGGTTAGGAGGAATTCAGCTCCCTCTGAACTTATGATCATTAAACCCATAGACACTAAACTCAGGCCTCAGGCTAACACTTTTAACTCTATCACCTTTACCATCTCCATCATCACCATCTTCAGCCAAGTCACTGTCTTCTCTCACTCGGATGACTGCAAGCGTCTTCTAACTAGTCTGTACATTGACCCACCATTGCTTCTCTCCAACCCACTCCTCACAATGCAGCCCGTGCCATTTCAGCAAACTATAAATCTGATTGTCTCACAGTCTCACCTCTATCCCAGCACCCCCACCTGTTCCCACCAAGGACGTGCACACATGGGTACTCCCTTGCCTGGAAGGCCCTCCTCTCCCATCTTCCCCTAATGAACTCAGCATTCAGTGCCACTGCAGTCCCCACTGTAGGGGACTTCGCTGACCTCACTGCCTGCAAAAATGATCCCACTGTGAGTTCTCAGAGCACTCTCAGAGCTGTGATTTACATTTCTTTGCGTGATTACTTGATTCATGCTTCTCTCTCCTCATGCACTCCCTCTAGTCCCCGCTGCTAAGCTCCATGAAGACGGTGACTACGTTTTTTTCACCACTGCCTCCCCAGAGCTAAGCACCTGCCTGACATAGCATAGATATTCATTAAATATTTATCGAACAAGAAATATGTGAGTAGATGAATGCCAATTCCCACTGAAATGACCCAAGGAATATAAACCCGGGGGTAAAATCTATGCCAGCTCTGGACACCAGAACCAGCTCCAGAGCTCCCCTGCCCTGACGGCAACTTTATGGCTGGCTCGGGCAGCTGGCTAAATAAAGCAGAGGGTGCCGTGGTGGCTGGTGCCTGGTAAGAACCGGTATACTAGGGTGTGAAAGGAGACAGTGCTCCAGTGAACTAGGGGATGAAAACAATAACACTGCAGGAAAAAAAATCCTTTTAAGACAGCAGAGAAGCTGTTTCTATCAGTAGTTTTCTTTCCATTATTCCTCATAAACCTCTTATCTGGCCAGTTAAAACTATTGAAAATCTAAACTCTTCCCTTTGTTGGAAGATTCAACTCAGGAACGACACAACGTCTACCAGAACCCATCTAAATGGCCAACGCTGCATAACCTAGAAGCTCTCTCTCCTAACTCTTCCTACCTGGTACAGAGTTCTGACTGCCACCACAATGGATTCTTGCCATCTTCCACAGTAACAGAATTGTAGCTGGACACATGCTAGACCACATCTCCCTCAAGGTGGCCATTTGACTTAATTCCCTCCATTTGAAGGTGGGTCAAAGTCCTAGGTGGCACATAGGGATCTAGGCCTTTTAGAGAGGGAAAGTGCCTCTCCCACTTGTCTTTCCCTCTCCACTGCCTAGAACATCAATGACCAGAGAAACCTTGAAGTCCACATTGAAGACAGTGGATTCATCTTGAGCCTGAACATGTGGGGCAGAGCCACTCGACTTAGAATACCTAGCTGGATGTCAGAGAGAAAAAAACTGTTGTTCTATACCGCGTTTGACATTCTAAGCCAACTAAAACACCCTATAAGGAAAAACAAATAGAAAAATCATTGAACCTAATTTAAAATGTGGTAAGGGATCTGAGGTATCAGAACAAATGTTCTATGAAACATACTTACTGCAAAAAGCACAAGGAAATTTTAGGCAATCTCTAATTATTGTAATAATTTGGGAGGATACTGGATCCATGAAAATGGAACAATCTGTGATCAGCTTTCAGATGAAAAGCATGGTTCCTAAATTTTGAAATGCAGTGAGCACAGTGAACCAAAAATTATTGAGAAGAAAATGCCCCAAAAGAGTAAATTAGAATATCAATTTGAGATAAATACAGGAAAATGACTATCAAAAATACAGAGAACATATCTGGGAGAAAGTGCAAGGCATAATGGACTGGGGTGTTATTAAGATGTTCTTTGTACAGAGAACCCAAGAATAACCAAATCACTCCCTAGACCAACTGCCCTCTCTGGTAAGGTTCCCTATTAGTGAGCTAGACCACAACTAGAGAATGCCTTTATTTAAGGTAGACTGGCCTGAAAGGTCTGGAAATAAAGTAGAGAGCAAGGCAGTCTGAGATCTTACCACTCCAAAGCAAGCAGAGAGGAGGGAGTTGGTCAGTCTCCTCACACAGCAGCACATCTGGTCCTTTGTTATTCTTCTGGGGGAAGTGTCCAAAAAGGACATTCTCATGTGTGCTCTGACCTTCGCAAAAGTAGCTCTGCCTACTCAGGAGTTCAGTGACAGTAAGATATTTTTTAATCTGATCAATCCAGCTCTGCACTCCTGAAGGATGGAGTGAGGGAAAGGGGTAAAAGGAGGGAGTGAAGGGGAGCCTGGAAATCCTCCTAGAGGTCAACGGAGAGAACAGCACTGACATTTCAATAAACATAAATGGGTTATACTCCTCTATTAAAAGAAAAAGGACTCAAGGATTGGAAACATAAATTAAATCCAACTAGCTGCAAGAGACACATATTAAATACA